AATTTCCTTACTATCTACAGCCCAATGACAAGTCCTTGAAATAGGCAGTGTGACATTCCTTTAGGATAATTTGCTAAGGGCAAAAAACCCTTAATACTTTGCTAAGGCCAAAAAGGAACCTTAGCCTGACCCCCAGGATCCCATAAGTCTACTTTAACATGTAAAAATTCCTTTGGAAATTTCTTGTATCTCTACCATGCAAGGTATATGTTGGCAATCATCCCCTAAGCATATGGCCCACTGATATACAGCTGGGTTTCATGCCTAAGGTTTTATTAGATAGTAATAAGTGAACTTTTATAGCTGGCCCCCTCAAGCTCCTGGAAAACTTGCTTCCAAAATTCCTTAGAAATTTACTCTATCCCTGGGTGCCTGGTGGTTCAGTTGGTTAAGCGGCTGCTTTGGGCTCAGGTCATGATCATATTGATTGGGTTTTGTTTTTTTTTTTACCCTAAGATTTTATTTATTTATTTGAGAGAAAGCAAGCAAGAAAGAGAGCATGATTGGGGGAGAGGCAGACGGAGAAGAAACAGACTCCCTGCTGAGCAAGGAGCCCTTTGTGGGGCTTGATCCCAGGACCCCAGAACTGGATCATGACCTGAGCCAAAGGCAGACACTTAACTGACTGAGCCACCCAGGCAACCCCCAATTGACTGACTTTTAAGTGGTCTCAGGTAGAACATAATTCAGTATTTAAATGAAATTTGTTGTTAATTGAAATAGGTATATCTTTGGAGTTAGTGGCTTTAAACATCAAACTTATTATATCTACGTTTGTTGAAAGATAAGCTTGTGTTATCTCTTGCAATTTGTTAGCAAAAAGATGACTTAAAATGATGGTTAAGCTCATTGGTATTGGAGTTTTCATGGGTAATTGTTAAGAAAGCTTTCAGTCTTTGGTAAACTGAAACTGTAAAGTTTGCTTGGGTGATAAATGGGATAAAATTCATTGGACATCTAGGTCTTTCCAAAATAGGATAAAGTGCTAAAGCATTGATTAGTGGATATAGGTTTGGGCTTTTGACTTCCTGTCGCAAAGAAACTAAGGATATTTGGGTCTATTGGTAAAAATGTTTGTGCTTAACTTATTCATAAAATTGCTGTCTAAAGAATTCTGGTGTAACAGTTCACAATTGGTTACTACTTATTTTCACTGGAGACTAAGGTTTCTAAGTGCAAAATTCTGCTAAATGTAATTAAGTCCAATGGAAATAAGGGAAGCAAGTCTGTATGTGTAAGAAAGATCTAAGGAATGGGAATATATTTTTGATGAAAGTAAAAGAAAGTAATTTTGTCCTAAATGAGACTGGTTGTTTGGAGAAAAATGGCTTGGTACGAAGGAAAGTTTTAGAAGGTTTGTGAAGGGAAATCTTTGGAAAAGTATTTTAGTCTGCTTTCAATTAAAAAGACAAAGTTTTCTTGAATTGTCACAAGTGCTTTACACAAACACACACACACACAATTAAACTCAGCTAATTCTAAGCCCAAATATATACACATCTTTAAGAAAGTATTTTTTTGTTCCATTGGATTTGTGTAGAATTTTCCCCTTTTAAAAGACAGAGGTAGGAAATTCTGTATTAATAAACAAAAAAACCCACTAAATTACAATTCATTCTTTGTTTGCTTCAAAGTTAAAGAACTAATACAATTTTATATTTATAGTATTATTAGTTCACTATTTTCTTCAAAGAGCTATTTTTTTTTTTTTTTTAAAGACCACCCAGAAGTTTGAACTAATTGAGGAAGCAATCTTCAGCTTACTTAAGAGGAAAGATTGCATGGGACACATTCCTGGCACTAGTTCTCTCTCATATCTATTTGGATATAATGCAAAGGATAATCATTTTGAAAATACCTTGGTCTTTTCTTTTTGCCCTTAAAACCCCAAAGCACCCTTAGTTAAGAATCTCGGATGCTTTTTTCAGAGAAATTGTTTCATAATTTGAGGTTTAGAAATGCTAGGAATAAACGAGCCACCCAAGGAGATCATAAAAGCCAAAGTCACAGATGTAGAAACAGGTTTTTAGTAGTGTGATGAATCTGAGTTTGGGGGAAAGTGCAAGATGTTATTCAAAGTAGAGTATTTAGGCCATGGAATTCTCATTAGCTGTTTGGTCATGAGAGAAACATCTGTAAATGAGGACTAAAAGGCTTTATGAAAAAATATTGAGGGAACACATTGAAACCTAGAATAAGAAAAATGTTGGGTAATTTATATTTAGAACCAAGTTAATGCTATTTTCTTAAGTACCATTGTAGCATTTTAGGGTTTTTAAATATGAGTTTTACATATCTAAAGAGCCACAAGTCTTTTTTTATAGTTTTTTCCCCCAATTTTTCTTTCTTAAATTATGATATTTGTGTGCCTTTAATTTTCTCCTCTCAGGGAAAAGCTATCCGATATAATTCAGATGTTGGTAAAAAAGTTGAAAACTATATAATTATTTGTTATATATTCAAACATGTTAAAATGATTAATTACCAAATAAATCCTTTAATACTATCCTGTTACCTTTATGGAAATAAGTCACATATTTTTCTTATTATAAGTTCCAACATATGTGTGTATTATTTTAGAAAACTACAAAAATGAGGAAGAGCAAAAATATGAAAATAAAACCATATAGAACTTCTGTTTCTGGGGGCACCTGGGTAGTTCAGTGAGTTAAAGCCTCTGCCTTCGGCTCAGGCCATGATACCAGGGTCCTGGGATCAAGCTCCACAATGGGCTCTCTGCTCAGCAGGGAACCTGCTTCCTCCTCTCTCTGCCTGCTTCTCTGTGATCTCTGTCTGTCAAATAAATAAATAAAATCTAAAAAAAAAAAAAAAAAGTCACATGCTCTACAGGCTAAGTCAACCAGGCACACTGAAAAAATTTTTAATGCTAAAATTAATCCAAAAAGGAAAAGAAAAAAGAGGGGAGGGAATGAAAACTAGAAGAGGCAAATAGAAAAATTAGCAAGCTGACAGATTCAGAACTAACCATATCAATATTTATGTTAAATGTAAATGATCCAAGAAAAACTATTAAACGGCAGAGATTGTCAATTGACTTTAAAAGAAAGATTTAACTGTGTATTTCCTAAAAGATATTCATTTTAAAGGACAAAAATGTATTAAAAATAAGAGGATACAAAACCATATAACATGCTAATGTTAATAAAAAGGAAGGTGGGGAGACTATATGAAAATCAAAGTAGATTATAGAAAAAATATCAGCAAGGAAAAGAGCATCATTTCATAATGATAAAGTGATAAAATCTTTAGTAAAGCATTATAGTCTTAAAAATGCATATCCCTAATAACATGAAGATTTTAACCTGATACAACTGTAAGGAGAGATTAGAATATCTCTTTATCAATAATTTGTAGAATAAGTAGTCAGAAAAATCAGTAAACATGTAAAAGACTTGGAAACTATAAATCAACTTGATCTCATTGATAGTATACAACATTCTTTCAATAACAGCAGAATATACATTCCTTTCAAGTGTATATCAGGCATGTACCAGGATTCTACAAGATATTACATTCTAGGCCATAAAATAATTCTCCATAAATGTAAAAGGATCCAACTCATGCAAAATATACTCCTGACCAGAGTAGAATTAAGTTAGAAATCAATAGCAAAAGGAGAGATGGATACATAGATCAATGGAACAGGATAGAGAGTCCAGAAATAAACCCAAACTTATATGGTTAATTAATTTATAACAAATGATGTAAGAATATATAATGGAGAAAAGAGAGTCTTTTCAATTAAATGTATAGGGAAACCTGGACATCTACATGTGAAGAAAGGAAGGCAGGAAGAAGGAAGGAAGAAGGAAAGAAACTGGATCACTTTCTTATAAAATATGTATGAATTCACTCAAAATGGATTAATGACCTAAATGTTAGACCTGAAAACATAAAATTTCTAAAAGAAAGTATGGGCAGTAAGCTCTTGGACATTACCCTTAGCAACATATTTATGGGTATATCTCCCCAGTGAAGGGAAACAATAGAAAAAAAAATTGATTGGGACTACATCAAAATTAAAAGCTTTTGCAAAGCAAAAGAAACTATCAATAAAATGAAAATGCAACCTACTGAATATGCAGAGAGATTTGCAAATGATATATCTGATGAGGGGTTGATATCCAAAATAGATGAAGAACTTATACAGCATAACACCAAAAAACCCCAAATAATCTGATTAAAAGTGGGCAGATGATCTGGAATAGACCATTTTCCAAAGAAGACATACAGATGCTCAAAATCACTAATCATCAGGAAAATGTGAATCAGAACAACAATGAGATACCATCTCATACTGGTCAGAATGGCTAGTGTCAAAAAGACCAGAAATAAAAGTTTTCATAAGGATGTGGAGAAAAGGGAACACTTGTGCACTGTTGGTGGTAATGTAAATTGTTGCATTCACTGTGGAAAACAGTATGGACATTCCTCCAAAAATTAAAAATAAAACTCTATAATTCAGTAATTCCACTAGTCAGTGTTTACCCAAAGAAAACAAAAATACTAACCCAAAATGAATACCACCACATATTGAGGCATTATTTACAATAACCAGGATATTTATTGGATTCCTATCCAAATGTTTTAGCCAAATACAAATGCTCCTTTTATTTTTACTGAAATAAAACCAAATTGTATGGTATTTCAAAAAGTGATTTTTAGAAATACAAGTCAAAACCACAGTGAGATACCACCTCACACCAGTCAGAATGGCTAAAATAAACCAGTTAGGAGATGACAGGTGTTGGCAAGGATGTGGAGAAAGGGGAGCCCTCCTACATTGTTGGTGGGAATGCAAGCTGGTGAAGCCACTCTGGAAAACAGTATGGAGGTTCCTCAAAAAGTTGAAAATTGAGGTACCCTACTATCCAGCAATTGCACTACTGAGTATTTACCCTAAAAATACAAAGGTAGTAATCTAAAGGAGCACGTGCACCAAATGTTTTTATTTTTTAATTTTTTTAAAAGATTTTATTTATTTATTTGAGAGAGAGACAGTGAGAGAGAGCATGAGTGAGAAGGTCAGAGAGAGAAGCAGACTCCCTGTGGAGCTGGGAGCCTGATGTGGGACTCGATACTGGGACTCCAGGATCATGACCTGAGCCAAAGACAGTCGTCCAACCAACTGAGCCACCCAGGCGTCCCGCACCAAATGTTTATAGCAGAATGTCCACAATAACCAAACTATGGAAAGAGCCTAGATGTCCATCAGCAGATGAATGGATAAAGAAGTTGTGGTGTATGGTATGGTGTATGGTATATACACCACAACTTCTTTATCCATTCATCTGCTGATGGACATAAGCAGATATATATATATAGATATATATATAATGGAATATTATGCACTTATCAAAAAGCTATAATCTTGCCATTTGCAACGATGTGGATGGAACTAGAGGGTATTATGCTAAGTGAAATAAGTCAGTCACAGAAAGACAATTATCATATGATCTCTCTGATATGAGGAATTTGAGAGGCAGGGGGTCGTGGGAAGAAGGGAGGGAAATATGAAACAAAATGGGACCAGGGAGAGAGACAAACCATAAGAGACATTATCTTAATTTCAGGAAACAATCTGAGGGTTTCCAGGGGAATGGGCAGGGTGGGGGGTGAGGAGGGATAGGGTGGCTGGGTAATGGACACTGGGGAGGGTATGTGCTATGGTGAGTGCTGTGAATTGTGTAAGACTGATGATTCACAGACCTGTATCCCTGAAACAAATAATACCTTATATGTTAATAAAAATGAATTTTTAAAAAGTGATTTTTAAAAATTGAATATATGATGGGCACCTTTCCATTTCATTGAATCTTCTTTTACATGGATGCCAAAACTTTATGTGTATAAAATATATATGCTAAAGATATTTTAAGCAATTACCTATTTTTGGATATTTAAATATATTTTTATTGTTTTTCATAAGACATTGTGATAACTATAGGTAAGTTTTTAGGAGTCAATTTATTTTCTCAATTCTACAATGTGAAATTACTAAGTTAAAGATATACATCCACAAAATTGTGCAACCTTTACAGCTACCTACTTCTGGAACATTTTGTTACTTCTAAAAGAAATTTTATACCCATGATGATCATTCTCTGTTCTTCTACAACCACAAATCTATTTTATGTCTGTATGAATTACCTATTCTAGCCTTTTCATATAAGTGGAATAATACAGTATGTGGTCCTTTTATGACTGGCTTCCTTCATTTAGCATCATGGTTCACGATTCATCCATCAAGGTTCATCCATTCTGTAACATATGTAAGTACTTCATTCTTTTTCATAGTCCTTTGTATGAATATGTATCATTTTGCTTATCCATTTAGAAGTTGGTGGATATTAGGGTTATTTTTTCACTTTTTGCCTCTGATGAATAATGCTGATATGAACTAGTAATGGAATTGTTCTTCACCCATTTAACATTCCCACAAACAATGCACAAGGGTTCCAATTTCTCCATGTCCTCACTAGGACATGTTTTAATTAAACAAATTATTATGTGTCTCATGTGAGTAGGATCTCATTTTTTTAATTTATTTTTTAAGATTTTATTTTTTTATTTGAGAGAGAGAGCACCTGTGTGGACGGGGGAGGAGTAGGGTGGTGGGGGGGAGAGGAAGAGGCAGATGCCACACTGATCCCTCTCAACATGGGGTTTGATCCTGAGATCATGACCTGAGCTGAAACCAAGAGTCTGTCACCCAACTGACTGAACCTTCAGGCACCCCTCATTTTTTTTTTTTTTTCACTTTCCCAGTGATTCATGATGTTGAGCAACTTTTCATGTGTTTATTGCTCAGTTGTATAGCTTCTTGGGAGAAATGTCTATTTAAATTCTTTGCCCATTTTTAAATTAAGTTGTCTTTTTGTTGTTGAGTTGTAAGTGTTCTTCATATATTTTAGATACCATTTAATAGATATATGATTTGAAAATATTTCTTCCAATCTATGCATTGTCTTTTCATTTTTTCTTTTTTATTAACATATAATGTATCATTAGCCCCAGGGGTACAGGTCTGTGAATTGCCAGTTTTACACACTTCACAGCACTCACCATAGTACATACCTTCCTCTTTTCATTTTCTTAACATTGTCCTTTAGAGCACAAATATTTTCAATTTTGATGAAGCAAAATTTTTCTATTTTTTCTTTGGTTGCTTATGCTTTTACTGTCATATCTCAGAAACCATTGCCTAACCCAAGATCATGAATACCCATTCCTTTGTTTTCTTCTATGAGTTTTATAGTTTTATCTCTGACATTTAGGTGTTTGATCTATATTAAATTAGTTTTGTGTATGGTATGAGGTAGAGGTCCAACTTAATTCTTTTTATGTGGCTATTTAGTTGTCTCAGCATCATTTGTGGAAAAGAATATACTTTCTCCATTGAATTGTCTTGACAGTCTTGTTGAAACTGTGCTATTGATTTTTAAAAACTTTTTGCATATTAAGGTACTGCTCCTTTTGTCTTCAATGCATATTGAAAGCCTTTTCCCTTCATTTGGATCTCTAGTGTTTTTTATGAATAGAATTATAACCATTTATGTTAACTAAATATATTAGTATTTTCCCAAATGATTTGTTCTGCCACTCTTGGCCAAATATTCACTTATATGTCCCTCCAGTAGTAGTTTATGAAAATACTATAAATAGCTATCAACTTTTTATTATTTTATATGGTACTTAACATGTACTTTTTTGGTAGATTCTCATAACTACAAACACTATGAGAAAAATGCTATCAATCATTCTATTTTAAAATGGATAATGAAACTCAAGGCTTGAATGATTTGCACAAGGCATGCAGCAGCAAGTACATGGTAAAATCTGAGTTGGAATTTAATGCAGGTCTACCTGAATCAATAGGACAAGTTCCCAAATAACTAAGATACCTTAAATTGGAGCTTTGTCAGCGTGGATATAAAAGTTTCCCCCAAACTATTCTAACTTTTCTAATCCATGATCTTCAGTTTTATTTAAGGATCAGAATCTTTCGATTAAGTGAAAGTATTATATATTTTAGTACAGAATATGCTATTTTAATCTTTAAAAACAGGTTAAATAAATTCCCATGTAATATGTTGGATAAGAAAAATCAAATTCACTGTTGCGTGTAAATTATCAATAAATGATTAAAAATAGAATGCTAAGTCAGTAAAATGTAAACTTTGTCAGAATATATAAAATAGAGTTGAGGTTTTCAAATACACAGTTCAAGTTGCAAATTGTCAAGGCCCAGGATGCCGTTGGTTTACCTCAAAGAGAAATCCTATGGGCGATGCAGAAAGAACCATGAAGTAACCAACACATGTAAAATATTCAGTGTGGTGTAGCTTACCATCAGTAAACTACTGAAGGGTTTTTTTGTTTGTTTATTTTTTGGTTTGGGGTTTTTTTGGTAGAATTTATTCCTCCTGTTCTCCATCTCCTTCCATACTGCCCCTTGAAAGAAGCTTCCAATCCTTGTTGCACTTTGTATCTCAGTCCATACGCAAAGGCTTTACAGCATTCAAAGGTGAAGACCTGGCCTTATAAATAAAGATCCAGTCTGTTTTCATCTCCCTTCCCTTTTCAATTGGCTGTTTAACCAGTTAGTAGTTTGCCAAGAGCAGAGAATCTTGAAGGAGTTTATTATTATTATTTTTTTGTCAAATGTGTCCAAGATATTTTAGGTGAATTTATACGATGACCACTATTGTTAGGGTAACTTATATAGAGCCTGCTCGTGCTGAATGATACCCTACGGTTGTCCTTAAGGAACAAATCTATAGTTCAAACTGTAAATTACCAAGGTCCAGGTTGCCCTTGTTTTATCTCAAGAGTGATGCTATGGGCTGTGTAGAAAGTTGCTCCACTCCAGAACTTTATTCCTCAATCAAAGGATTGTCAGCATTACACAGAGCACTAATGCAATTATATAAAAATCTCAACTTCACAGGCAGTCAGTACACTGTAAGACGTTTTGTGTATGCTTAAATAATTTTCAATTGTATATCAGGGCACAGATAAAGGGAAATGTTTTTACATAGTCCATTCAAACTTGAATTTCCTGTAGTGTTCACCCATGCACTAAAAATTTGGATTTGCAATTCATGAGAGCATTCTGATACATAAATGAAATGTATAAACAAAAAAAGAACAGATCCTTCTTATATTTAATAGTAAATCAATCCCGTTCCATACTTTAGGATAATAGGCTTAATCAGCAACTGGTTAAAATGCTGATAATAACGGGAGCATAGTTCAAGCTACACTTCTACTTTAACGTTAGGAGCAGAACCCAAGAATTCCCTCTGCTGGTAGGCAACAACACATGCTCTATTTAAAACTACATTTATTGGGGTGCCTGGGTGGCTCATTTGTTAGCATCTGACTCCTAATTCGGCTCAGGTCATGATCTCAGTGTCTTAAAATCAAGCCCCGTGGAGGGCTCCACACTGGGGGTGGAGCCTACCTAAGATTCTCTTTCTCCATCTCCCTCTGCGCCCCCCCCAAATGAATGAATGAATGAATAAAATATAACTACAATGATCTACTCTGCTGAATAGAAACCAGGATTTTTAAAAAGTGGGGACTCTGGTGTTCCAGGTACTGCAGCTGTCTCATCCTTGAGGGAACTTTTCTCCTCCTATCCATTTGAGGTGGCAGTTACTGGCCCAGAGAAAAGCCATAGAATAATTGTTTTCTAGGAGTCATAGATTATTTACTTTTTATCCTTAGCATGGCTATTTTCATGCTGGTGCAGGCAAAGAGGGATGAGGGGAGACAGTGCATTTTTTTTTTTTTTCAGAGAACATATAGTAATGCAAATTAAGAACACATTTTGCTTTTTACCAATTATAGTAAATCGGTATTTCCCTTTAACATTTAGATCTCAAACTCCTTGTACCATTTTGGTTTACCTTTGGGGAATTCATGCGCTACCATTAATGGTAACTATTAGACCATGCTACATGTCAACTTTTGATATGACCTAACATTTCATGGA